TTTTCCCTTCTGGAAGAAGTTTACTAGTAGCCTGGTGTGGTACAGCGCAGGGGGGGAGGGAGGGAAATGGTGAATGGTGTGGGCCATGTGGTTTCAGAGTTGCTGTGGCCATCTTCCTCATTGCTTCGGTGGGAGTCGAGTCCCCCTGCAGTTGCTGGGCCTCTTAAGAGGCCTGAACTGGTACATCTGGCATGCGAGTTGAAGAATACTGATGTGAAGTAGCTGCTGCGGTCTGAAGCAGGAACAGGTCCATTCTGTTGCTGTGGTTTTTCGCTAACCCTGCAGAGAGGCCCTTGGGAGTTACTCGTGGCTGAGAAGTAGGACATGAGCAAGCAATGTGCACTTGCAGCCCAGAAGGCCAACCATGTCCTGGGCTGCATCAAAAGAAGTGTGGTCAGCAGGTTGTGGGAGGTGATTTCCTCCTCTGCTCCACTCTAGTGAGACCCCACCTGAAGTGTCGTGTCCAGCTCTGGGGTCCGCAGCACAAGAAGGACATTGAGCTGTTGGAGCCGGTCCAGAGGAGGGCCACAAAAATGATCAGAGAGCTGGAGCACCTCCCCTGTGGGGACAGACTGAGTTAGGGTTGTTCAGCCTGGAGAAGAGAAGGCACTGGAGACACCTTATTGTGGCCTTGCAATGCTCAAAGGGGGCTTAGAAGAAAGATTGAGAAAGACTTTTTACCAGGGCCTATAGTGACAGGACAAGGGACAATGGTTTTAAATGGAAAGAGGTAGGTTTAGAATAGATATAAGGAAGACTTTTTTTATTTTTTTTTCTGATGAGGGTGGTTAGACACTGGAAGAGGTGACTTAAACCATGACAACGTGTCATTTTTTCCTTAAAATTGAAAGCATCAGCGTGCTCTAACTTCTTATGTGTTGGCTTCACAAACTTGTTCAGGTGTGCCCAGAGTCAGCTGGCCAAGCCAGACCTAGCAGGCAAGCTGTTGTGCTAGAGATGCTGACTCGGGATACTTAACTTCTCAGGCAGGCTTTTACTGCTGCCTGGTGCTCTAGGCTACTCTGGGGGCTGAAATGCTGGTGCAGACTTAAAGGTAAGGCAAGTATGTCTGCACATACTGTGGTGTTAGACCTACTGTTACTTGATTTTTGCCTTAATTTTCCTGAGAACTTGGCAGCTAAACCCTTTGTGAATTAACTTTTATTTTTACATAATGATTTACAAGCATATTATCTACCTGAAAAAGAAAGTAAATTACTTCCAACTTTAAATGTCTGCACTTGTATGAAAGGACTCTTTTCATTCTACATAAACCACAAAGTTTAACAGCTTAGCAGAAATGGAAGCAGAATCTTACAATTTTAGTTTTTGGTGTAATTGCATAGCAACAACTGAAAGGCCTAACAATGTTCCCTCTCTTTTGTAAGCTTGGTTTTGCTAAACCTGGCCATTCAAGATACAGTATGGAGACCCTGACAGAGGCTGAGATGTGGGCACTGCGTCGTGAGCATCACTAGATGCCTCGCACTGCCACATGATTTAGCACAAAATTGTTCCCAGGGCCTGAGACCTCAAGCAGGTGTCCTCACTTCATGTTCCTAAAACCTGCTCCACTTGCAGTGGAGTCTGCTCTGGGTTTTTCTGTTTCTTTGGAAACTGCTGTAGCCAATTGAATCATCCTCCCCACTGAACTTGGTTGCATATTCCTTCTTTCCTCACAACGATCTACTCTTTCACTTGGCCTCCCTCTTTTTGTACCCCATTTCCCTGTGTTTTCTGTTCACGGTTTCTTAAGTAGCCCTTACTGTGTGCTGTTTTACTGGTGTCATTGTCACCTTGCTGCAGTAGCTGCCTTCTCTGTAGGTCCTGCTAAATCTTTAGTCTGGTCACTGTGCAGCTATGTAGACACTGGGTTTATGATGCGTAAGCCAGCTTGAAAGGAAAGCTTTCCTTAACACAGCCCAACCCACCCCCTGTGCTTAGCCATACATCCTCCTCCATCGTGCTTTGGCTGGAAAGTGTTTGGGAAGTTTTGATTGTGCTTTTTTTCCCTCAATGTTCATGCATTTCAAGGAAGCATAAGATGGTACAAGTTTCTGAGCCTGTCCCCTCTCTCCAGCCCCCTCTGCATGTTGCTATTAAATCTCTTAAAGCTGAGTCAATTTTTTAATAAGTTACAGCTCCTGCTACAGAAGGCCAGCCTACCACAGGTTCTTTGGGTGGATTCCTGCATTTGTAAAGGTCTGTTGTGTGGCCACTGGCTTTCATTGTGTGCTTTTTACTATAAAGTCAGTGGCGGGGTTTGAGCTTCTGTGAGCAACTGCTCCCAGCAGAGCCCTTTGGAGTTTGCTGAGGTTTGAGCAAGGATTGGAAGCCTGCTGTGTGCTTTCCTTTTCCTGCTGCTTGGAGTGAATAGCGAGCATCTGGAAGCAAAGCCATTCCCAGTGTACTCAGATAATCCCACTGGAGAAGGCAAAAGGAGCTGCTCTTGAGCCTGTGAGCTCTTGCGGTAGTGTTACCGATTGACTGCTTTGGTTCTCTCTCCTCTTGAACAGGAACATGCCCAAGAAAGGAGGAAAGCATGCTGAAATGGGGAAGGAAATGCAGATACAGTGTAAACGAGCAAAGGTGGAAGCAGCTTGTTCTCCATCAGTCATGAGTTTTGAGAGCCCAGACAGCCTCTTCGGAAGCTTGATCTCTCCCATCAAACAAGAGGTGTTTTTCAGGGAGTATTGGGAACAAAAGCCACTGCTTGTTCAGAGAAATGATCCCTTGCTGGCTGCTTACTACCAGTCCCTGTTCCAGTTGTCAGATTTGAAGGAGCTGTGCAGCCAAGGTCTCTATTATGGACGAGATGTAAATATCTGCAGATGTGTGAATGGAAAAAAGAAAGTTTTAAATAAAGAAGGCAAAGTGAACTACATGCAGCTGAAGAAGGACTTTGATCAGAAAAAGGCAACAATACAGTTTCATCAGCCTCAGAGATTTAAGGTTAGATGGTTTTGTTGACTATAATTAATACATGTTATTTAATGTAATATATTTTGCTGGAGTCATAATAGACATTGCATTATCTCTGTCCTCAGTAAATCCAGGGAAAGTAGCTGACATTGATGACCTCTAAAGTCTGTACATGAACTGTATTAATTAAATCATGGCTTATGCTTTTGCACTGCCTACCAGTGCTCTGCAGTAAGAACGAAATCTGGTTTCATGCTAGAAAAAATGCTTTATCACGTAAAAGTTCAGAAAAAAGCCTAAATGCACAAAATTGGTGATTATCCATCTGTATCTGCTTAAATCATCCCTTCTGCCCCACTGTTTCCTTGTGCAATCAGCGCCTTTGGTACCGCTTTCCTTTAAGGGAGAGCAGGGTGTGAAACCAAGTATTGTGTCACTGTCTGATCTCGGCTTGAGTGTAGCCATGATGCCCAGGGCCGTCTGCAGGTCAAGCTGAAATGTTGTACGGCTTATGCTGAAATCTAGAGCTTGAGCTGAAGGTACGAAAGTTCTGGTTGAAGTTGCACTTGTGCAAGTCTGGTAGTTGGCATCTTCTGATACGAGAATCATCCCTTCAGTGCATCATCTGCGACGTGTTAGATGTGGATGAGTGAAGTTTGTTTTTGAATATGCCGAAACAATCAGAGTCACTGGAAAAAAGTCTCTAAACTTGCTCTCTTTGATGATAGCCTGTATAGTGCAAGTCCTGCATGTGTTTATTGTCGATGTTTTGCTGTTTGTGGGATGATGAGTAGTTTATTTCCCTCTCTGTCTAGCCCTGTTTGTCTTTACAACCTAAAAATGGCACAGGAAAGAGAACATGTATTGGGGCAAGACTTCTTGGCTTCCTGCTCACCTTCACAGCACAGCTCCTTTCTGTCCCGCAGCAGGAACACTCATACAGACCATCCTCCTTCCCAGCCTCCGTACCCCTGTGGGGATGTGATCATTCACTAGAAAAACCTTCCAGATGATGGGGAGGCTGTGGGCTGGGGGCAACCTGGCTTGGCTGAGCTCTGCAGTAGTTACAGCACCGTTTCTTTCCAAAGGAGGAGCTGTGGAAGATCCAGGAGAAGCTGGAGTGCTACTTCGGGTCTCTGGTTGGGTCGAACGTTTACGTTACTCCTCAGGGGTCGCAGGGCCTTCCCCCTCACTACGATGATGTTGAGGTAGGACAGCACAGCCTTGTCGATGAAGCTATGCGTGGGTTTTTGCTAGCGAGAGTGCATACCGGTATGTGCACATTCTCCCCCCTCTCTCTCATGAAGTAACCTAAAATGTTTTTCCACTGAAAACTTATGGTAATTGGTTGCAAGTGTTTAGAGTCATTATTCCTGTATAATTTTACTGAAAAGTTACTAATAGTAGTATCTAATGGTAATACCATGTAAACTGCACTTTCCAGAGCTGGTATTTCCATTGGGTGAAAAGAGAATTTCTCTTCCCAGCTGCAGAAGCTTTCTAGCACCTTTTTTTTGTTTGTTCATTTTTACTTCATTCAGGCCTCTAAGAACTTAGAAGTCCTTTTTCCTTTAAGTACTTGTTCTTTCTTCAGCTGGACAGTGGAAGCAGACTGGTTGTGCTGGTTCCCATTTGCTGGTCGTACTGTTTTTAAGAAGTTACTGGTATGATGAAGTCCTGTGGTCCAAATGCATTTTAAATTAGCTTCTCAAAGAAACATTCAAGTGGACACAGCATTAAAAAAGTTGGACTGTCTCACTTAAACCAAAACAAAAACACCTCCTTATATATTTTTTTTGCCCTTTTCATTTCCATTAAATACATCTGGAGTTTAACTTTCCTCATGCTTGTTGTTCAGCAGCCCCACAACCTGCACGTTCTGGCGTATGTCATCAGGTTCCTGCTCACAGCATCCTCTAGATGTTTCTGATGCTCTCTTTGTAAGTGAATGCTGATAAGACCTCTCTCACCTGGTGTTTTGGCTATCTGTGTGGCAGACATTACTTTCAAGTTAGTTGTCTAGCACCTTTTTAAGTGTCTGGAGAGAAACAGTGGTTTTCAGATGCCTACCTTAGGATAAAACAGATCACACACTTCACAAGTCTTCTGTCTGTTGTCTCTAAGTAGAGCCTAAATAAATAGTAAAGATGTAAGTGTATGGATTGTAGACATCTAGAAATAATGTGAGTGGAATCCTGTTTGCCAAGCTGGGAAGTAGCTGAGAGCAGGGAAGGTGAAATCTGTTTCTTGTCAGAAAAGCAATCTGTTCTGCTTCTGTCCCCGATTTGTGGCATGTTTCCACAGACCTACCGTGTAAGAAGATTTAAAATTTCTGATCAGTTGGGTGCGTGAGGGGCAGCGCAGCTTCCTCATGCATTTGGATTAATGGTGTTTTGCAGGTGTTTATCCTTCAGCTGGAAGGTGAGAAACATTGGCGGCTCTACAAACCAACAGTGCATTTAGCTCGGGAATATAATGTTGAATCAGAAGATAGGATTGGGAGTCCCACACATGAATTCATATTAAAGGTATTAGAATTGAATCGCTTTACCTGGTCTGGGCTGTGGTTGCCAGAAAAGAAGCCATGTATAAAATGGTCCATTTCTTGAAGACAGTATTCTGAATGATCGTGGTGGTGAAATTGAGGGGACGGTTGGTGCACAGAACACTGTGAGCATGAGAAATTTGGGTGATAGTTGTCTAACCTATCCTTTTTCAAAGGTATCCTTTGCTTTAGTATTTAAATAATGGACCATGCAAACAGTTATTTCTGGAAATTCTCCAATATTCTCCAAGTTGGGCAGCCTCACTCCTGGATCATGTTTGTGAAGTTGTGTGCAGAAAAACTGTTTGGTTTTTATATGGTTATGAAACATTTTTGTGCTTTTCCATGCTGTCTATAAGCAATCGGGCTAATCCTTCAGTGCACTAAGACTGCCTGCTTCACCAAAGACTGTCACTGTTCTGGTGAATTACATTTTCACACACGCAGTCGCTCGGTTGGAAAAGACCTCCGAGATCATCACGTCCAACCGCTCCTGTCTACTCCCTAAACCATATCCCTAAGTACCTCGTCTACCCGCTCTTTAAATACATCCAGGGATGGTGACTCCACCACCTCCCTGGGCAGCCTGTTCCAGCCTCTGACAACCCTCTCAGTAAAGAACTTCCTCCTTATCTCTAACCTGAACCTCCCTTGGCACAGCTTGGTGCCGTTTCCCCTTGTTCTATCCTCCATCACCTGGGAGAAAAGACCAGCACCCACCTCTCTACAACCTCCCTTTAGGTAGTTGTAGGTGGTGATGAGGTCTCCCCTCAGCCTTCTCTTCTCCAGGCTAAACAACCCCAGTTCCCTTAGCCGCTCCTCATTTTAGTATTTACCCTTGGCTGATAAACAAAAGCATGAACTAAACCTCATATTAACTTGCTACATTAATAATTTCTTCTTTTTCCAAACCTGAAAATCAAGTGTTTGGCTGCTTTTTTGTTATTTGGAATAAAAAAGCATTGCACAGAGATGACTGCATGCAGCCCCTTTGAGAGCAGGGCATGTAGTACTTGTCCCATTCTGTTTTACATATTTGTGCCTTTGAAGCGTGCTGTTTATCCAGCAGACAGCGCTGCTCTGCATGGGAAGTCTCAGTAGTTTCTCTGCCTTGTGGCCTGTCACAGGGCCTCTCTCTGTGAGGTCTCTGCTCTTGCCGGTGCTCAGACCTGCCTTTGGGTGTAGGTAGTTTAGGAATAGTAGGACACATTGGGTGTGATGCTGACATCACTTGCTGTGTGGTTTCACAGATGGTAAAGTTCAGCTGTCATGATGTATTGGGTGATTAAAAATGGAAATTCCAGTTCCATTTTTAATTTCTGGACTGGACTTCAATACTATTGATTTTCATGGAGTAATGATGTATGCCACAAGCCATTTTACTGACATTAGTGGAGTGAAAATACTGGCCTCTGAAAAGGGGTTAAAAATTATTTGTGTTTTATTTATTATTCTTCTGTTGGGTGGCTGCTGTCAGGTTTTGGTTGTCTGTCTGGCGCCGGATGCTCCGCAGATAATTCTTACTTCCTCCCTAAACATCTTCAGAAGTAAGAAGGCAGCAGAGTGATCAGATCTGCATTGTGTCTCTTGGGAAATGCTCTGTCCTGCCCAGTCTGGATGTTGTCACCTGCAGTCTGTGAAGATTCTGGTTATTTTAATTGATGAGTGTTGTGCTTGCTGGCTCCTGTGAATGATGATGATGAGACTGCCTAGCAGATAAGATGAATAAGAGTTGGACTTCGCAGTGAAGACTGCTTTGAAAAATCATGATCCTGGGCTCTTGGTGGTAGGCATAGGGTGCTACAGCATGGAATAATTGCTTTTGCAGACTTTTGTATTCACCCTGGTAGATGTTCAGGACTCTTACCCTTCTTCCCCTGTGTGAGCTGCCCTCCAGTTTGTTTTCTTGCTGGGGATGTGAAACATAGCAAATGAAGAGAATTCAAAATATTCGTAGCTGGTTAGTGCAGTCCCTACACTGGTGAGTAAAGCACTTTATCAGTGGCAGAGAGAGGCTGGGTTCAGAACAAGTAAACCATACACAGCTGATCTAGGATCCTTTGCAGCTTGTTATGAATGGATGAAGGGACTTGATCTTGCCAAGTCTTGTGGAGCCTCATGATCTGAAAGGACTTTTCAATTCAGTGAAAAATCAAGTAGTATTCACTTGGAATATATCTGTGTTCGACAGGTAGGCTCATAGAAGTAGGTGATGTTACCAAATTTAAGGAATGGTAAAATTAAAATGGCATCAAATTTCATCATCGTTGCTTTATGGATTTTCTCTTTGTGCTCTCCAAGTCTCCAGATGTTTATAGGAGAAGCCGTAAGTAAACTGTTTTTTCCTTCTTGAGGGCAATTTAATTTGTTTTGCACTTCTCTCTTATCTTGACTTTCCTAATCTAATTTATTATCAGTGTAGAGATTTAATTTAGATAGGTGAGAAGAAAGCTAGGGAGGAGGACGGTTGCACTTCTTTTTTAAGTGTTTTAACTGAAAATTTCAGACAGCAGTATTGTAACAGATTGCTATCTTTACAGAATATTTGGCTTTTCTTGTGGAATACTGGCCTTTTCTTTTGACACGAGCTGACCAAATTCCCATTGCACTGCTCCTCTGCTGGCCTGCTGTATTGTCAGCAGGTTCATCTCAGCTCTTTCTTTGTCCCCTTCATGCAGCTGTGTTGGAGTGTGCATGTTCTGGGAAGTTAAAAGCTTGCTTCGTGGTTTCAGACAGGTATATAGTAAATATTAACAGTAAGTTGGAAAGTGTAAGGTATCGGACTTCTGGCTTAGAGTGCTTTATTTTACATTACTAAGGTGTACAGTGGATGATCTCTCTCTTCTGTGAATTTAAAAAATGTATGTTGTCAGTCTGTCTTCTCAGAGAGTGTTTTCTCTATTTTGACTACAATAGGGTGTTACCAGGTCCCCTAAATACATGAATTCTCTTTCATTTTCTTGCAGCCAGGTGACTTGCTGTACTTCCCGAGAGGGACTGTTCACCAAGCTGACACCCCTCTTGGGATCTCCTATTCTACACACGTGACCATCAGTACCTACCAAAACAAGTAATTGTTCTTTACCCTTTTTTTTCTAGCATGGCTCTTCTGAAAATGGGTTTCTTCTGCCAGATGATGTGTGTGAATAGCACAGACCTGAAACCGATGTTTCAAAGAAGTGATGTCCTGTTTTTCAAGAAAAATAACCACCTTGTAATGAGCTCTGCTTAGCTCTTCTGTGGTTTGTTTTTCTGTGAGTAATACAGGGATAGGACATGTCACCTTCCCCCCCAGAGATGTGGTGATGTAGTGTAGGTACCCCACTATTACGTATGTGCCTTGCTGTTAGTAACAGACTCTAAGCTCGTGTTCAGGTAGCAGTAAGTGAAGTTTTGGGGTTCAGGAGAATGAGAGGAGCGAGACCCTTGTTGTCTGAAGCAGCCTGTTTACCAGGTTTTTGTGCAGCAAGCTTGATTGTTTTTTAAGTGGTTATTTTATTATTCACCAGCTGTAGACTTTAATGTGGAAGATAATGTTACAACTGCAAACTCACTGGTGCGTTTAAAAAAGCTCTCACCAGTGGCTGGAGTTACTGTTCATTTCATAACTTGGATAGAGTCACGAGTTACTCCTTTCATCGTGTTTTCTCCTGGATCTGCTAGTCACCCACACCTATCCTGACAGACTAGCTGCAAATTCTTCCTACGCAAATATTTTCTACGTATCTGTGTTTTTTCATCTCTTACCATGTGCTTGCACTGGGTTTGGAGTCATTGGTCTACTTAGGAACTGGGAAGGACTCTAACAAGTCATACTTTTCTTTTTTTTTAATTTTAACTAAAGTAGTGTCTAGGGATCAGTGCTTGTCTGAAAACACAGAGTGCTGAGGGAGAGCAAGAGCAGAGGGTGAAGTATATGTAGGAGGACAGACCCAGCCCTGCTGCCTGCCCCAGTTGGGTGAGAGTCTGCTGGCAGCCTTGGGTGCTGGGCACTTGCCCATTAACCCGGCCTCTGAGGTGTGGTGGGGAGATTGGCCACACGCGGACAGGACAGCATTTTTGTGTGAGAGGCAAAAATGTTCCTGACAAGGTCAACTCAAGCTAGGCAAAGAAGGTGCAGGCAGTAGTCCTGCTTCCCCTCCTCAAGTTTATTCTTACAATCGGGGAATGGAAGCACAAAGGCCAGATTTTTTTTTAAAGGTAGGTAGGCTAAGAATGGGGATTTAATACAAGCCACCTACAAGGTGCCTGTTAGGTATCTAGGTATCATTAAAATCCCTGTAGAGATAGGGAGGGGTCTTGTTCCTGGGGCCACAATTAAGTTTGTGACAAAGCTAAAATCTGAACCCATGTTGGATGTGATAACCCTGGGTACATGTCCTCCTTCAATTTAAGTGTCTTGACAGCGCGTTAAGTGACTCAGTCCCACACACTTCATTGTGTGCTTCGAGGCCGTATGTGCACGTGATTGGATAATAATGGCCCTGGCAGGAATTTCTTCATTCACTTTCAGCTTTAAGCTGAATCCACTGGTAAATGGCAGGCACCTGCATCAGAACAAACTGGACCTTTCTCAAGTCAATTCCTTCCCCCTGTAGGAGCACCACTGGCCTGTAGCTAGCAAGGACACACACAGAGTTGAGATGAGAGTGAGCTATTGCATGAGACTACAGGGTGGTAATGGAAGGGCCAAAGGCACAAAGTAGATTTGGAACTGGAGCGCTACGTTTCCAGCCCTTGCCATCAGTTAAGATGTCTGTTTTACTGCAGTGCAGCTATTTTAGTATTTTTTTTTTCTTCCTGTTCTCCAGCTCTTGGGGAGATTTCTTACTGGATGCAATACCTGGCCTTGTGTTCGATACAGCGAAAGAAGATGTGGTGCTGCGGACAAGCATACCAAGGCAACTGCTTATGGTAAGTAGTTGGGACTAAGGGAGTAACAGTGCATCCAGCTGAAGCTTCAGCACTGAGGCAAGCGTGTATCTTGTTGATCTGCTTCGAAAGGTCCGTGCAGTGGCACTGTTGTGTCTAGCAGCACAACCACTTCTTTTGAAGTCTTCAGGATGTTCTCAGGTTTGCTCCACTTGAAGCATTGCTTGATTCATTGCACTGCCTTTCTTTCATATCACAGTGTCCTTCTGTGGCTTGTTTCCTTCTAAAAGTAATGGTGTTTGCTTTGGAGCTGTCAGACAGGCATAGTTCCTGTCAGGCCAAGCTTTTGACTCTTTAAAAAAGTAGTGGCACTGTAAATTGTTCTGTACCTCGTTATGGTAGCCCAGTTGTGCTGCTGCTCAGCTCATCAATATGCAGAAGGAACAAGTCTCTCTCAGCCACCTTTAGCATTGCAGGTAGCCCCAGAGGGAGGAAAAGTGAGCATCAGCTTTGGTGCGTGAACAGCTCATGTGAAATGTGTAAAAGAACCAAAGTTTGTTGTTTGGGGAGTAAATGTTGCTACCCTTTTCAAAAATAAGAGGACTATCCAGATTTTTTTCACTGCATTACTGCGCCTCTTTCTCTTCAGGCTAGTCCGTTTAGCTTGAATTCATGTGAGAGCAATTCTGTGTGAATATTTAGCAGGTGGATATAGCTGACTCGACTAAAAAACTGAGTAGCCTTTTGAGAAGGCTTGCCGACCGTGTGGAAAACACCAGAGAGCTGAGATCGTCTGACATGAAGAAGGATTTCATTATGAATCGGCTGCCACCTTACCTGGGATGTGACTCTGATCCTTTAATGCCAGGTAGAGTTTGAAGTTACCAGAACTGACTGATGACCAAAACTGGCAGAGCTGCTGCTAACTCTGCCTCTTATGACTTTGGTATTTTATAGTAGGCAAAGATTATAATCTAGCGTCAGCTTCATGTTGTGCTAGGCTCCACATATGCATTTGCACATCTCAGTTGGTTAATTCCGTGTCTAGCAGAAGAGATGACACGTCTCAGAGTGAAATAAAGGTTATCTTAGACTTAAATCAGCAGCTTTAATAAAGTACTGTGTACTGAGAATGTTTAACTGAGAGAATTTCTCGTTAGTCTCTAGCTTGCCATTACAGCTATTTGTAGTGTGTAAAGGTGAGAGAATTAAGAAAAACCCTCTCTCCCTCCCTGTCCCTGGCCCTGAGTTTGAGAACAGTGGGTGTTGAAACATAGGTTAACAAAAAAATGCAGCCACAAGAGAGTGGGTAGTGCAGAGAGGACTCAATTCCCACTGTTCGTCTAGTTTCCTTTTGTTATGGAGAATGAATTTTTTTTCTTTTCTTAGGTGGGAAGTTCCCAAAAATAGATAGCAAAATCAGACTGCAGTTTCGAGATCATGCTATCATTACAGTGGAACCAGATCAAGAGAATTCTGTAAGTACAAGATGTGGTGGATGTGGTCTACCTTGACTTCAGTA